ATGGCGTTTATTGTCGCTGCGATATATCACGCTATGGATTGGTGGCACTCATGAGTGCACTGACAATGTCTTCGCCATTATTATCGTCTGAATTGTAGCGTCAATTGAAAGGACCCAATGATGTCGTCGTCTGGGCCTCAGCCGAGTGGTCGTCGCGGACGCGATGGTCAGGTGGCCAGCGGTGGTGGAGGAGGCGCTCCTCCAGAGACCAGTTGTTGTAACTTAAGGACAATCTCTTGGGACCACAAATACATAGCGTTATGCCTATTGTGTGGCACTGTTTCCACACTAATCGGGTCTCTCATTGTCATAATCTATGCAATGATTCGCTCAAACACTTCATCTCTTCAGTACTTCGAGACAATTCCCTCATATATTGTCGCCATTTTGGTAATGATTGTCGCCTTAAGACAAATTGTTTATCGATTGCTTGTTATTAATGATATATCTCTTGTGGTATTTGCAGCTCATATTCAATGGTTTACTCGTAACATCTTTCGCAAAAAGCAAATTAAGATTTGCACTATTGGTATGTATTTGATGGTTAAGATATCACTTGTCAATTGGTCTAAAATCATTATTTTTAACGCTTATGTCAACTGAACAACAGGTGAAAGCGGTCGGTGGTCTCTATTTGGTGACCGCTTTGGTGAGTGTTGTGATGACTGTCACCACAACTGTTCTCCATATGAATCGACTGCAAACACACGATCAGTGTATTTATACGCCAAGAATCAGGAGCTGTACATGCATTTCATCTCCACTGTCCAGCGGACCAAATGGAGAGATCAACCGTTTGTTGACAATAATTCATGTGTATCTCATTGTCTCATTTATATCTCTTTTTTGTCAACAGTTGGTCATCACATGACTTTCGATGAGATAATGGACTGCGATGTGGTTCACGGCTTACTGTTCTCGTGTCTGAGAGGACTGTTCGGTCTATCGGTGTTTGCGATACTGATGTGTATTTTCTCACTAATGCTTGTCTACCAGTTGTTGAGTCATCAAAAGAAGAAGAAATATTTGCAACAATTAGAGCTGAGGAGACGATTCGCGGTCCAGAGTCGCGGCTTCGGTGGCAACCATTCCTCGGCGTACGTCTCGACACACGTTTCGCCGATAATATTGAGCCAAAATACTCACCGAAACCACTCGTTAAGACATTTACCGTACGGTTCTTACGGCGAGGATCTGTCTCCCAATGGTTGGTGTCTTCCGCCGCATTCGTACGACTATTTAGACAGTCGTTCACACAATAGACACTTCGACGACGAGATTCGCTCAAACGTCGGCATAATGTCCAACACTCGATCAAATTCTTGGACCAATTGGTTGAATTGGCCGCGAAGTCAGATCTGGTCGTCCAATAATCATCACGTGTCCAATCAGAACACGAATCGGGGATTTTTTGCCGATTTGTTTCGCAGACATAACAGTAATAATAATA